TATAGGGTTGTGTGAAGATTAAATCGGATGATTCATATCGAGTGCTTAAAATCAAGCCCTGATGCACAGTAAATGCTGCGTAACTGCCAGCCCTGGATCAGTGGTGGTCATCTTTTGGCTTATTTTTATTTTCTGTTCTGCAGAGATATCAAGTGAAGTTTAAGGATGACTGCTTTTAGTTGGCACAGAGGTCGCTGTGCAGGGGTAAGACTGGAAAGTGGGTATTGCGGACAAAGGCATGGACAGGCAAAAATAACATAACTTGGTCCAGGACTATAAGCTGTATGGTATGTAAAGTATGAGACAGGGCATGAAATGAAGTGAATCTGGAGAGGGAGGCAGAGGACAGGTCATATAGATGGCCTATTCTATTACATCATCTTTTGGTCACAGAAATGATCTGTACATGTTTAGGAAAATATGTGGTTCTCAATAAACTATTTTTAGGCAGATTATGAATATAACCACAGTGCTAAATAGCTCACCAATGCTTACAGTTTATAAGCTTTTGAATTCATTATCAATGTCATCTTGTTTATTGGTCTGTGATAGGGTTATATTTGTATTTAATCACCAAGCTACAGATGAGCTAGCTCAAATGGAAAGAGATAAATAGCAAGTAGGAGTATCCAAATTAGGATCTATGTCTTAAAACGCTAGACCCCAAGTTAATTTTCATTCTGCTGCTCTGGTGAGAAATTGAACCCGCAGGGTTAAAAACTCAAGCATAACCAGCTACCAAGGTATGTTTGCATTTGCGCATTGTTAGTTCCTAATACAGTTGAGTTGAAGTTCATTTTGTAATTTTACACCGACTTAAATGCTTCAGCAGTGGCATTCCTTAGGGGTTTGGTGTAAGTAGTAAAATGTAGTTTGTTTACTTTTATTAATAGCCAGTCACCCCGCCCCTTAGGTAATCCTTATTTGGAAAGGCCCTTCAAGGAAGTAGAGCTGTTCCTACAATTCATATTAGGTGGAATGTGATAATTTAGCTTAGGTCACTAAGCTGTGTGTCATTCTTAGGGCACGTGTTCTTGGTTTCTTTTCCTGTTAAACAGGGTAGTAGGCAGAGGACAGGCATCAAGAAAACACTTCCAGTCATTGAATTTGTGTCTACATGCTAAAATATTCATCATCTCGATGACATCTAAAGGAGCTTCTGGTCTTTCTGTGAAGAGGGGAGGGGAAGGTATGTGGTCATTTCTGTGCTGCTGAAGCACCCGGAACTCCCTGGAGAAGCTCATGGAGGAGTTGGTTAGGTTTGTGTTTAAATTCTAGACCAAGAAGGATGATGTTGCCTTTCTGCTAGACATGGAGTTGCTGTACTTTTGCGGTAATGTTGTAGGCATTTCAACCACAATGTCCTCTTTGGGCGTAGAAGAAACTGACATATGACCTGAGCAAGGCAGAGGGAAATAAAGAGAGAAGAAAAATAAAATTCACTATCAGAAAGCACATTTTTGTTGCAAACCATTACTTATTTTTTAATTAAAAAAATCAGGGAATCTGAAGGATGAATACTGATCAGCGTCTTAGTATAAATGCTGAGTATCCACGTGTCCTACATTTAGCTTCAAGAAACAATGTGAAAAGATTTGATTAAAAAGGAGAAATTTCATTTTTCTGCTCCATTTCTCTATAGTCCAGGTAGATTGAAATGCTGTTTCACAGGGCTACAAATAAAAGATTTTGATGTGATGGCTTACTATTATGTAAGTTTGAAATGCTAATAACATTTATATTATTGAACTCTATGTCTTGACTGAGTAGGAAATGAAAGGAGAAAAATATTGTTATCATCAACTTTGGAGCTTATCTAGTCTGTTGCTTTGTTTCTCAAATAGAAACTGAGTCCTAAGAGATTCTAGTCAGTACCGTGTGTGTGTGTGTGTGTGTGTGTGTGTGTGTGTGTGTGTGTGTGTGTAACGTTTAGCATATAGTATGGTCTCATTAAATGTTAGCTGTGTTTATTTAGTTAT